ACGTGAGGACGCGCCTCGCGCTGCAGCGCTCGTCACCAGCACAGCCGGGCAGCGCATCGCACACTCCGCTTTTTTTGCGGTCAATAGATCAATTGATCTGCTGGTTAAAAAGTTACCTGTGAGGTGAAAAAGAAGGAAACAGGCAGGATTTTTTCTGGAGGAAGGGAGATGCAGGAAGATCAGAGACAGACAGGACAGGAAGATAGTAAATAAAAACCAAGAAAACAAAACAAGTTCTTAAAAAAATAAAATGTAGGTAGATTTATCCCCACCACAGCTCTTGTACCTGTACAGTCAAAACGGCTGATTATGTCAAGGTTCACAACTAACTTAGACGACCTGTAACGGAATGAAATGACTGTTTTCCACCTAAAACAGTATTCTCCCTCTCCTCAGCAAGAACTAATCTGCATGAGATATTGCCTCAAGGTCTCATGCATTTGCTTCAAATTGTTACTTCCACGGGGATATCTTGATAATCTGCTGACTTGTGTGCTTCCAAAGGGATTATGCGAGACTGTTCTTCGGGAGTGGGGGTCGTACCTCACCACTTTTTGCCTCTTCCTGGGGAATTGCACCTGCTCTATCGTCAGAGTCCCTTCAGGCTCTGGTTTGTTCAACACCCAGGTGGTCTCTGTGCACACCATCGTACCATTGAAAAGGGGGATATGTACACGGAAAGAATGACTGTTTTCCACCTTAAAGTCATTCCCCCCTCTCCTCAGCAGGAACTAATATGCATGAGATATTGCTCAAGGTCTCATGCATTTGCTTCTAAACCTGCTTCCTTTCCAGCCCAAGAGAAGAATGAAGACAAAGGACTCTTTTTTTTAAATAAATCAAAGAACTCTATTTTTAATAAAGCTAATCAAACAAAGTGTTAGTCCAATAATAATGTGGACCAATCTGTGAAATGACAATGTTATGATTAGTAAGTTTTAATAAGTAATATGACTTTAATCTAGATGCACTAGACATCCTGATACACGTAAACGCATGACACGTTGCTTTTACTCAACCAATCGGAACCTTCCTTTCTGAAGCGTGGCATAGTCCTCTGTGGTGTTTATAAATCTGTCCAACTTTGATTCGACCGTAAATCAAAACATCCAGATCAATAAAACCAGTCCCCACGCCATCTTAGTTCAGTTCACCGCATGCTAAGAGAAGTATCGGACCGGCCACCCGGACTTCCTTTTTAAGCAAAGAACCAACAAGCTGGATAAAATCTGTTGCATTTTACCAACCAAGCAATGGTTCCTTTCAGAATAAAAGCTGAACTCACTGACCCTACGGGTCCATTCGACGCTGTCAACCAACTGTCGCTTTTTACCTGGAGACAATCCAAAGACTAGTCTGTCGTACTGCTGACGCTGTTTCATCGGCTCCGGTACCAAAGGGGGGTCTGAGGACGTGGCATTCTGGATCTGTACGGAGGTCTTATCCTGAAGGGTATGTGTGGAGTGACAAAATGGCGTCTCATGTGTTTATGAAACTCTGATCATAGCTTAAGAGCAAAACATCACAAGATCACCCAGACGTGCTTCTCCGGATACGAGAGTTCTGATGACAACATCACTCACACACACACCATTCATCTCACGTCTCATTCACACAAAGATCCATCCATTCACTTAGAATTTAGAGCTAGTCTTGTTTAAAATTGTTTAGAAATAAATCTTCTTAAACGTTTTAAAGGTGACTCTCTCTTCTGTTGTCTCTAAGTTAATATGAAGTGTTACATAATCCCTGCAATAAAAAGTTCCAGTCTTCTGGTTTAAAGTACCCAAAGATCTGTAAGATTGATTTCATAATCACTATGGAATCTCATGTCTTATGGTTCGTTAAATAAATGTAAATTAAACCCTTTACACGACTTAATAAAAAGTGTACCGTTTCATCCCTAGAAGCAGACTCCATCTTCCCTGTGAAGGTGAATTAAAATGTTGACACTAAAAACCTGGGAGTAAAATGAGAAACTGGTTCTTATACGGAGCTGGTGTGGTCATTGGAGAGATGCTGGTAAGCCGATTGGAGCTTTCTTCTGCTGAACGCTGAGACCCGAGAAGACATTTTTGATCAGCGCGAGAGGAAGTCAGAGTTCATGTGATGCACAGAGGAACTTTTACAGTAATTTGTCATAAACGGAACACAAAGAGCAGAGAGGCACTCAGGCAACGTTTAAGTTTACAGGAACTGAGTAACGAGGAGACGGAGCTGTGGACATCGACCTACCGTGACTTGTTAGCCAGCAGCTCGTCCTCATGGTACCACTCCAACGTGGGTTCAGGCTCTGCTGTGAACTGGCAGTGGAAGATTGCCGCAGCGTTCCTAACCACAATCCGGTCCTCAGGAATGACCACCGGCCGTGGGACGCTTTTATCTGTAAAAAACAAACATCCACCTGCTTACGCCTGCAACCAGGGTCCACCTGCATGGTCATGCTTCACACCGGTGTTTTATTTAAATCTGTAGCGAGTAAGCCGCCTTCGTGTCAACACCACATTATGTGGAGGCTTAATGAGGTCAGTGAACAAACCCTGCAGCTTATTTGGACCATTATCTCCTCTTTCTATCTCTTGGGTCAGAGCATCACACAAGAGAGATCATCTCACTTCTGTGTGAAAAAGATCAGCTGTGGAACATTGTTTCGTGCGTTTCAGTGACACAGAAGGGAACTTCTATTCATTCCAAACACAAACGCTTAATATTTTCAGCGTAGCGACTTATTTTGAACAACCTTCCTGAGCTGCTAAGCTACCACTGAGCTGCTCTGACCTGCATAAAGGAGATTTGCTACAGTACAACCAGGAACAGGCGCTTCAGAATACAAAGCAGAAAGATGCTGGGAGCCATTAAAATGTGAACATAATCCAGATTTTAAGGTGTGAATCAAAACAGAAGAGGCAGAAAATGAATATATGGGTGGAAACACCAACACTGACACCAACAGAAGAGCAGGAAGTAGCAAGCCAGCAACTAGAAAGTCATTTATGTCCATTATAAGTTGCTCACGCCATGTTTCTGTGACATCCAGGTTTCTGTAGCACAGAAGTACTGAGGTAATACTGTACTGGTGGTACTATGATGTACTATACAATTAATTCCCCAAAGCCTGCAAGGAAACAAACGATCCTCGTCTATAAAATCTGCTCTTAGAGATCCACAGAAAACTCTCTGCTGCTGGAGGCGACGATGCATAATCGTGCGTTTGTCTGCGTGGGCGGCAGGTGTTAGCTCACTCTTTCATAATTACATTATAGAAACTCCATCTCTCTCACATCACTAATGGTCTTCAGACCAGCTTCCCCTTTACCAGCATTTTCAGCAGAGGGTGTGAAGAAAGACGGCAGGATAATCTACGCAAAGAGCAGAGAAATAACGAAAGGTAGAATAAAACTGAGTGTTTCAGATCAGACGTGTTTTCACCCAGCAAAGATTTAAATTACTCACAATCTGATGCAGGAAACAGTTGTAGGTCAGCTCAGAAACCGTTAATGATGGCACTGCCTCAGCCAATCAGAGTGCTCGCTCACAGCATGTAATCAAGCAGCTGAGTGCTTGACTGATCTAGCTGATTAGCTCAACAGGAATTCTTAAAGCCAGAAAAACAAGCTCAAGCTACGCTGGTCTTTGTTTTCCAAATAAAAACACACTTTTGTACATTTCACGACCAATAAAATTAGTCAGTAAACAAACTAATAATTAGAAAAGTATAACTGTATAGCATGGACATGGTCTAGAGTTTTGGTGGTGCTATTTTCTATTTAGCTTTATTTAAAATGGATACTTAGCTACTTTTTTGTATTTTTAAATTATTTTCTTGAGACAGTATGTGCTAAAATGACCCTTTACAGGGTTAATGAAAGGCCACCCTGCCCTTATTGCCCTCCGTGGCCAGAAAATCACACTTGCAGCTTCAGACTTGCTGGTCCGCTCTGTTGAGAGCTGACATACCTGGCGCTGCAGTCTGGCTCCAGCACATTTCCTGCATGTTTTAGATAATGAATACAGCTGATTTGTTTAATTTAGTGATACATCACTCCTGTAGACTGTAAGGAAGGCTGGGAGACATTCCAGCTGTTAGATTAAGGTGTTAAAAAGATGAACGCAGCACAGCAAAGAGAAAAATTTTGCTTTTGGTTCTACTAAATGGACACTAGGGGGTGCTAAAAGCAAGCCAGAACTGCCTAGTCTCCCTTTAATGTGCACTTCTAAGAAAAACAAGAGCATTCCAATGTCATCCTAAACTTCTGAGCTTTTCCCTAGAAGTTTTTTTTTAACTCGTATATTCCTTAAGTTTTCTGAGTCCTGTAGTCAAACCTGCGAGTCGCTGTAGCAGGTGGTGCTAAAACAATAGTTTCAGTACTGAAACTTCCCGGTACGCACGTGTCACCACTTCTCCTGGCCGGCGGAAAAAGTCTTTTAAAAGAAAACTTGGAAGCCTGTTGTTATTACCTTTTATTTATTTTAATCAATTGTATTTATTGTGTGTGTGTGTGTGTGTGTGTGTGTGTGTGTTGATACCGTTTTAATGGGCTGTGCCGAGACCATCTGCAAACCAAGTTCCTAACGGATAAATGGTGAATTTTGAATTTTCTAGCAGTCATTTCCATGAACTTTCGGAGTACCTGAACAGGGCTAGGTACTCAGAATGTCTCAGTGGAGTTGCTTAACTGTTGGTTACCTCACCCTGAACTCAGTAGGAAATCGCATCAGCAGACATCCAAAACAACCAGAATAACCCATGTAGCGCTGTGATATGCAAAATACAAAACTAGGGGTGTTCCGAATATGTTTCTTTGCTCCCGACAAGATTCAGAGTCCTTTGATTTTAAGAATCTGCCGATACCCTACCATCCATCCATTCTCTCCCGCTTATCCGGAGTCGGGTCGCAGGGGCAGCAGCCTAAGCAGAGAGGCCCAGACATCCCTCTCCCCAGCCACTTGGGCCAGCTCCTCCAGGACAATCCCCAGGGACTCCCTGGTTGAGAAACATTGGGCCTGCAGCATGTAGAGCTGATCCAGTGCTGAACGGCCAGGACGAAAACCACACGGCTCCTCCTGAATCCCAGGTTCAACTATCCAACAGACGTATGTTTTTGGTTTTTGGTAGGAACCTGTAGAAAACGCATGCATGTATGGGGAGAACAACCCAACTCTAGGTAAAAAGACCACAGCTGGGTTTTGAACCTGCAACCTTTTGCTGCGTGTTGCTACCAGCTGCATCCCCATTTAACTGTAATTTTATTACATTTATGCAAAGTCACAACTCCAGTTATGAAAATAGTAGATGTGAGTGTAATAAGGGATCTGTTTATCACTGTAGAAATGAAAACGAGCACAACCGACTGACGAGTCAAATGTGACTAACCAAAGGCCGCCCCCGCCCCCCCCCCCCCCAGTTAAATTCTGCCTCTTGAGCAATTTTATTGAAGACCCAGTTTCTATCCAATCAGAATCCTTTTGACCAAATGGTTTGTTACACAGACTTTTCCACCCTTCATCACAGCAGACCCTGAAATGTTTCTATAATAACCAGAAACATCATTTCTTCCTGAAAGTGGAAGAACTTGGCCTTTTGTGAACACACCTATGATGTTGAGAGTGAAGTTGGTGCTGCTGCAGACGTTGCCGGCTGCGTTTTTGGCGCAGCAGTAATAAAGGCCGTTATCGTCTGGACTGGCACTCTTGATCGTGAGCGTCCTCTCCTTGTTGTTGATCTGATGGCTGGCTTCAGTCAGCTTCACTCCATCTTTGAACCACTGGCATGTTGGTCTGGAACACGATTGGGGAGGACAGATGTGGGTGGAATCAAAAAAGACAAAAGCAGATACAACCTACGTCAATATGGGAGAGGACTCACCGGGGGTGTCCGTCGATGTGGCAGCGCAAAGCGACGGGCGACAAGCTCTTTATCTCATCTTTTGAAACTGGCTCCTTCAGAGTCACATTTCCACTTTCTAACCCTGCAGAAGCAGAAAAGAGAAAACATGAAGTGGAGAAGGAAGAAGAGTAGCTGCGGAGAAAGACAGGAACAAAAATCAACTTAAGTGGTTGTCCTGTCGTCTGTCCACACAGCACACGTTCCACGGCTAATGGGACGGGGAAAGTCAGGAACATCACTGTGACAGTGTTATGACGACGAGAGCGAGCTACCACATATCCGGATCGGCTTACCCCTGCACCCAGAGCCTTAATGGAGCTTTTTATGGACATTTAATTGATGCTTCATTGACTCGCCGCGTTGAAAGGGATGCATCACTGTCGAAGCAGCCCATTCAGCTGAGATAAAGGAAGCAAGTGCACATCAATGACCGCGTTTCGCCCGAGCCAGCGCCAGTTAGGAAGTGTATAAATGCAGATGCTTCAAAGTTTCTTCAAAGGGAACCAAAAACAAGAATAGGCTCAGCTCCGTTTACTTTTGAGTTTGACTTTTGTTCTTGTTGTGGCCCTCCACTGCAGATCTAGATGCAGACAGACACTTTAGGGTTTTTACAAATATGATCCCTAAAAACAAATGCAGACAAATTTAAATATTTATAAATGACGAATAAAAGCATTTGTGATTTAGGTTGTAAAGATTTAACGGTTTTATTTACTAATAAAATTAAAATTTTATGATAAATATACTGTTTACTGTATGGGTGAGCAGGAAAAACTATTTCACAGGGTAACTGCAGGTTGAAGGGAGCCAAATTTAAGACTTTTTAAGACCTTTTTTAAGGCCGCTTTGAACAAATTTAAGCTATTTTTTAAAATGTAATTTCTGCTATAATTTCCTAACCACGTCGCGAACGTGGGATTAGACATCCAGTTACCATTAAACTTGCACTTCTCCATGGCGTAAGCTCCCACTAGCTTAACCAGCGAATGTGCTCATCTAAAAACAGCCCCCTTTCACAACCAACTGAATGTGTACGGTTCCGCTTACGCCAACATCGTACACAAAAAAATGCTGAACACTAACCAGAAATTCACAAAAATGTCATAGAAATAAAATAATCTAGTTTATTGGGTCTTTGGTAATTTAAGACCTTTGGAAACTGTATTTAAGGATTATTTGTCATTTTTAAGGATTTTCAAGGCCTTAAATTTGAAAAGTCAATTTAAGACTTTTTAAGACTTTTTAAGACTTTTTAAGACTTTTTAAGGACCTGCGGATACCCTGATTTCAAATGAAAGAGTTTTAACTCAAATGTGGACACCGCCGACTCAGACAGGAATACACGAGTGGAATGGTGATGTCACAGGGAGTAAAGGTAAAGAAGCTTTGGGTACAGCGACCCTGTTCAGGGGTTTTAAAGCCCATCGAGCGTTCCTATACCTTCAGCAGAACTTGACTCACGTCCACTACCGATAATCATGTTACTCACATTAGACACTAAAAAACCTCCTTACCTTGTGACAGAAGTAAAACATTAAAACACATTTAAAATCAGACCAAAGTCTTCCAGCGTGGCTTTTATACATCAACATTAACACAGTCCTGCTGTGTGTGTGTTATTTACACACTTGATGCTTACACTAAAGTGAGAAACAAGGACCGACTGTTGTGACTGTGATGATATATGAGCTGTGGCTGCACGATAAGTAGTAACTGTATATGCTGTGGTTACTACACTGAGTGTGTGCCTGTTTGAGCCACACCGGTCAAAGCAAGTGTCTGTCTGGGTTTGTGCACAGAGTGTCTACCGTAAATATTCATGCACGCACACACACACGCACACACAGCATGCATTTATGCAGCACATTCCGCTAACGCTGAGCTTCCTCTGGCCTGTGGCTTGAAAGTACGCCTGCTATGTGGCTCGTGTATGAAATACGCACGGCGTGAGCCTTCCTGAGACAGCAGTGAAGAGGAAGGGAAGGCGCAGCGTCCTGAGGTCAGACGGGGCTCTGAGGGAGACCTGACACCAAGAATTACTGGGAGAACTTGCTGGTGCTAAACACCCAGAGGGTTATGGGAAAGTGTCTCTACAGTAACAAGGCCTTCACAGCCCCTCACTCGTATCCCCATCTGAGCCAGGCACTGCTCATTAACTCCTTGGTAAGGCACTGTGTGTGTGTGCGCGAGCGTGTGTGTGTGTGTGAGGCAGCTCTGCAGCTGAACCAGTGTGTTTTTGTGCCTGTTAGAGACAAGTGGTTTGTGTACAGCTGAGGTGGTGAGGAGTGATGCTCAGATAATGATGCTGAGCCCGAGAACACGCCTGCAGTGCGTTAGATGTTGAAGGATGACAACTGGTTGTTTCTTGTTCAAGGTCAAGAGCTTCAGTTACTTTGAGAGGAAGAGGAGGAGGAGGAGACGAAGGATAACTCAGCTGTGGGAACCTGGGCCAAAACACTCAGTTATTAGAGCAATGAAAGGAAAAGGGAGCAGAAGGGAAACAACGAGTCACCCAGAGAGAAAACACAAATAATAGGAACTAAAGAAGTCATTTTTTATCAAGTAAATAAATTATTCTTTTGGAAGTTACTTCACTTAAAATGCAACAGTAATGTAACTAATTACTTTAAAACTATTTTCCTACATTTAAACTTGTGGTTAAATAAAAACAAAGAAATAGTGATAAAGTGTGAATAAAGCTACAAGATAAGTTTGGTTTATTTATGTTTGTTTATTTGTGAAATAAGTGCAACAATTTTTACTTTTTACAAGAATCGCTGCTTCCCTCCCTCCTTTAATCCTGATGGACGATCAGTAGGTTTTATCGTGTGTAGTTTCCACACGCGAGCCGTCTGGCGCAGGAAATTCTACCGTTCCTTTAGGGAAAAACTGGTGGCTTGTCATAAGACTCAACCTCACCCCACCCCCCCAAACAGGAACTCCGAGGAAGGAAAAGAGGGAAAGACAACAGGAAAAATCCGTTTTCCCAAAGAAAATTTGTTGAAATGAAAATTGCAGTTTGAATATTTTCATAAACAACTAATTTATGCAAAAGTGTTCTTCCATACCTGCAGCAGATTAAACTGATTATCATGTTGTTCTGTTATTGTTGTATATTGTGCACTAGTGCTTATCATGTGTTAAATGAGCACGAGAGAAAAGGTTAATCACATTGAATATGGGCAGATTTTCCTCGAGGTCCGAACCTGTTCAGTAAAAAAGCTTCAGGTAAGGAAAGCAGTGAGCTTATTTACAAATCATTTCATTGATTTTAAGATCATTTTTATTCTTTTTTAGCTAACAGTGTAAAAAAGTTTGATAATCATTTTAAAATGAATCTTAACTAAAATAAAACCACACTAAACCATTAAAGTGCATAAAGCACTTTGGGTAATCTCAAATTAAATCCCTTTGGATAACATTTCTTTTCTAGTTTGACCTGGATTATTTCAAAAGCCTCCCACTCTCCTCCTTCCAGCTCCATTCACAGTTCAAGTTTCTCCAGCTGTCAACTCTGCAAAGAGAAGGTACTGTTTCATAACATATTAGAGGCAAATACCTTCCTGTAATCCCTCTCAGAATGCATGACTAAGCTGGAGCGGGCCTGGCTGCTAACGCCGTAATTAGGGGCGTATAATTATTATGCTGGAGGCTGAACAGGAAGCTCCGTCAACCTAACGGATGAATTGTGAGGATATCGTCGAGGCAGAAGCTCGGACAACTCAGGTCTCAGGTACAGCTGAAATTGAGCGCATCCTTCACTCAATGAGGTGATTTGTTGCCATGGAAAACTGGCGACTCGAAGTGTAGTATGTCACGTTGTGTTGTGCAGCCAGTCAGGGTGTGATTGAGAGACGTATAGGGATTTGAGAGCTTCCAAAACATGTAGCTGGGTGGGTTTACAGCTGTAAACATTTAAACACCCTCTCTGAACCAGCCCAAAATAAAGGAGGGATCAGATTTTATCAGCTGTAGCTGAGATGAAGGAATTCTGGGATATACTGGAAATGTGACCATGAAGATGCAGAAAGCAAAAAGATTTAAGGTAGGATTCTAAGGCCCTGTCCACACGTAGCCGGGGATCTGCCAAAACGTAGATATTTTTCTACGTTTTGGCCTGTCGTCCACACCAAAACGGAGTTTTTTCACACGAAAACGGATTTTTTTAAAAACTCCGGCCAAAGTGAAGATCTGCGTTTTCTCCGTTTTGGGTGTCTGCGTGTGGACGGACAAAACCGGAGTTTTAAGGTCCGCAACGTCACTTTTCGCGACAAAAAAATGCTGACATCACGTGTGCGACCTGTGTTTACACTAGCCGACAGCATGGATGCCCTCAGAGCTGCGCTCGCTTTATCAATTGTCCAAGCGCTTTTTGCTTGTTTGTTTTTGCAAGCGGAATTACTGCTCCTTGCGGAAGACCACAGACGAAGGACGGGGTTAAGAACGGGGGAAGTACTGCCACCTACAGGTCTGGCATGTCCTTAACAACGTATTTATCCGGGTACGTGTGGACAGAGTTTTTTTTTTAAACGAGGTGGAGTGGATGCAAGTTTTTGGAGGGGTGGATATTCGCTTTTAAAATAAACCCGGCTACGTGTGGACTAGGCCTAAGAATGCCGTTCAAATAAGCTACGTTTTGAAAATACACAAATTTGCTCCCACTTATTATGTCCTCTCTGATGGCTCCTGACACACACGAGCGTTGCCGATAGGGCTGCAACAAACGATTATTTGGATAATCGATTAATCGGATGGGGTCTCGACACGATTAATCGATTAATCGGATTACATAGGGACATTTTTAAAAACTGCTAGGGAAACGTTATTTTTCTCCTTCCCTCACTTTATTAAACACAACATTATTAGAAAACAGTTCAATAGCAGAAAAACAACATGCCATCACCTAAATTGTCTTATAAGGTGTATAGACAGAGACCCTAAGCTACACCTATCTGTGACCTAAAATGCTTGGTCCAAGTTAAACAGCTTAAAGAGCAAGTCAACCCCTACCAGAGTCCAACTCCACTCCCACTTCATGTTTGAAAAATGCAACACATGCTGTTGCCTGGCAGACCGAGAGGG